TAGCTTTCCCCTTCATTTTTTTTTTTTTTTTTTTGCCCTGGCAGCAGCAAGGTCTGAGTTTTGGGGGCTGTTGGGGTGTTTTTAGCACCGGTGCCAGCCCAGGTGCCGGTGCTGCAGCCCGGCCGAGGCAGCCTGCAAAGTCCTTGAGGGGCCCTGGCACCATTTCCAGACTTTTTATTGGAATAGCTAGGCCTTGTCTGAGGTTTCCCAGACAAGTTTTGCGCAGATTTAATCACAATTTCTCCACGGCAAAGTTTTCCCTTGTGCAGACTCGCGGGCAGGGTAACAGCAGGGGCTCTTCCTCTCAGACCTTGACCTTTCTCAGTCACCGTGTTCGGTTCCCAAGCACATGGACCTCACTCGGGTTCCAGGAAAAGGGCTTTGTTATAAAACCCTACGGGAGATTTTCCCATCACCGGATCCAAGCAGAGCCGGAGGCCATGCAGATCCTGCCGCTCCGCATGCAGGGGGTCCCGGAGCAAGCTGGGATTGACTGGAAACGCGTTGCCTTGACAAGGCAAAAAAACTTACAGGATTAAAAACCCCTTTCGGTTTTCACTGAAGTTTCCAGCATCCAGAAAGAAAAGCGGAACAGGAAAGCAGCACCAACTTCTTGCTAATAATTCAAGTGACTCTTTTCCTTATAAGTGGTGTCCAGGGACACAGTAACACTGAAACATCTCCCAAGATGACTCAGATGTTTAGTATAGAGAAGATAATTTCCCCAGTGCTGTGGGCCCTGCATAGAAGGTCCCCAGCACACGCCAGTCTCCAGGTTGGGTTTCCCTAGTGCCCTTTGCTCTTAAGTGCTTAAAATCAAGGGGAAAAGGCACACAAAGTCCCACAGCGGCTGGTCCGATCTGCTCAGGCCTGGCTGCTGCCCATGGGCCTCTGTTCTTCCTTCTTGGCACAAGTTGCCTCTTGGGGACCAACCGCAGGCAGAACCTGTGGCAAAACGCAAGGACAGCCTCATTTCTTCCCTAATTTCTGCTCTTCTCTGTTCCAGGAGCTTCCCAAAACTGGGATGTCTCATAGAGTGAACAAGGGCTTTCCTGAGAGCCGGGATCTCCACCTTGGACAGGGAGGAAGCGAGAGGGCTCCCGAGCAGCGCGGTGCCGGCTCCGGATCAGGTCGGTCCCTGGGTCGGTGCCTTGTAGCCATCGGCCTCCCATGGCAGCTCCTTCCAGAGCTGCTTTGTCATCCAGTCATTTTCCTCCTATTTTTTAAATTAAATAAAAATCTTTTCCTCATGCTGACCAGCTCCCACCTCCCACAAACCCGCTAAAACAAAAATCCTCCTGTTACGAAAACGTGAAAAACCTCAAAAATGTTACTGGAAAGGAGAAAGGTCGATTTGTTGATACTACTGACCATAAACAAGCATGAATGCTTTGGTAGCCTTAGAGCTGGAACTCCCAACCGGAGCTCCCGAGGTCCCGTGACGCGCTCCGGCCGCGTGCCGAGGCTGGAAGCTGCCTGAGTGGGTCCTCAAGGGCTGTTGGTGCCTCCTTGGAATGAAATGAGCTCTATCCCATGCTCAGGAAGCATTCGGAGGCCTTTGCAGCAAGGATGCTCCAAAATCACCCATTATTGCTACCTGGTTACAGCACAGAGACTTGGTGACGGCGTCCTTCACCCGTGGCCTCCTGAGCGGCTCCAGTTGTGTCTTGGCGATGCTGAAGAACCAGCAGAGCCACTCTCAGTGCTGAACGGAGACGGGAGCTACAGAAGGAAAGGAAAAATTCCTCTTTTTTTTTTACCAAAACCTTGGATCCGGTTCCTTGCGGCGGCTACAGAGCGTGTTGCAATTCTCGCTAATTCCTGGAGTTCGCTTCCAAGTGCTTTGTGGAAGGGCAGTGTCCTCTGGAGTGACGCTTGCTTCTGCCTGGAGGCTCCACCGTTTCCTCCTAGGAATGAATCCAGAGAGCGGGATCGGGCTGAGGCGCTTTCTGCTCACCCCGCCACTCTTTGAGCCCCAGATGTTGAGCAGAGCGCAACAAGTCTCCATCTGCTGCTGCATCCCCTCAGATGGATTTAAAATAGAGCAAATTGGTTAAACTTTCTGATGCCCCTTGTTTACATAATTTTTTCTGGGAAACTTGACCAGGAAGCTTGGGACAACAGATAGAAATGTGCACTTACACAACTCCCTGGCTGTTGAGGACAGCGAGTGCTTTTGGGCCAATGTAAAGCAGTGGGGGGGTCTTCCCAAAGCCGTTGTTTGCTCACGCTTCCAAACCCTTGGCCTTTTCCGTCTTACTCAACGTTTAGGGGAGGGGAGGCCGGTCCGGGGTGACTCAGCAGCGCTGCAGAGCGGCGCGCGGCTCTCGCAGGGATGCGGGAAGGGCGCAGGGAGCGCTCGGCGGGATGCGGGAAGGGCCGGGCTCCGGCTGCACGGTCCCTGCGCCTGGGATGTCCTCGTCCTTCCACAGAAGGGATGAGCGGTGGATCAATGAGCTGGGTCCGGCTGCTGAGGGTGTTTTCCACTGGGAAGCCCAAGGGACTGGAAGAAGGGCTGGAAAGTTCGGACCGGCTGCCCTGAAGGGCTTGCTCAGACACGGAGCTTGGGCAGGAGGTTTATCAGACCCATCTCGGACTTCCCACAAGACAAGGAGCTTAGCGGGAACCATGGAGGAAGAGAATAGGCGTGTGAGTCCCCCAGGCCTGACTCCGAACCTGGGACCGGGTCATCCCGGCACCGGCCGGACGAGCTTCTCCTTTTCCCCAGTTCCACGTCGCGCGCGGTGACTCAGCACCGCTCACGCACAGGATCCCCACGCGCTCATGTGACATTTACTGCCTCTTCCACAGCCGGCGAGGGGAAAAACACCCTGTGATCCCTTCTGTTCCCATCGCCTGCGGGTGACTCATCACAATTTCCACGGTGCCGCGCGCGTGGGTGCCGCTCCGGGCGAGCTCAGCCCGTGCGGAGGCCGTGGCCACGCGGAGGCTGGATCTGATGGATTCTCCTCCCACCACCGCAGGGATCTGGACGGATGCACGGGGACGTCGCACCGGTTTAGCCAAGGAGCCCCGGGTGATCCCGCTTGCCGGGCCCAGAAGCCTATGGGAGCCACCGGGCTCTGGGAACACCCGGCTCCTTG